ATAACGTAACAGATTAAGTGATGTGTAAGGTTTTCTTCTTGTTCTAAGGGTCTAAGCCTTTAAGAAGTCTGAAAAAAGGCAACTCGGTGATGAGGCAGACATGCGAGAGGGGGCCCTTTAAGATGCTATACAGCTGGCTGTCTTTACATAAACAACAAAGAAGAAGATATTTTACTAACTCGACTTTTAAAAAGAGGACCTGTACATAGTCACCAATTGGTGTTGTTTGGTTAAATGAGCAGTGATTATACTTCTTGAGGCATCAGCAGAAGCTCCACAGTTGCCATGGTTCCCAAAAGGCCGGCGGGGACTAACTTGCCCAGAGCCTCAGGCTCTGGCAAAGGGTATGTGAGTATGTTTGTCCCCTTCATGCTATGTCTGAGGCTTAATGCTATCGTCCTTCCTTGGCCTATAGGATGCAAATAGGAAGTGAAACGTGAACCAGCTCTTTCCTTCTCACTGGTTTCCTTGCCAGCCCATCTTTTATTGGCCAGCCTGGGTTTGGCCTGCTCTGCATCTCCGTTTCTGCGAGATGTTCAAACTGCCAGCCAGTCTAAGGCCAAATTCAATATTCTGAGCTGCAATGTTGCTCTCAAGCAAAGTCACATGCCCACCTCACAGAGCCTGAGAATTCTGGAGCTAGAAGGCACCTTAGCTACTATATAACCTTATCTACTACATAAGTTTCAGTTTCTAGATGAGAAAAGAACAACCAGAAACAGTAACAGCTGTTAATATTCTTAATATTCAGGCCTTGTGGAAGGGACTGTGCCAGGTGCTTTATATCAATCACTTCATTTCCTTCTTGCAACAACCCTAAGGGAGCTTATTCTTATTACCCCAATTTTGAAATGAGGAAACTGAGGTTTTGAGGGGTTCGATAACTTGCTACTGGGCTTGTTCAATTTAATCCAAGTATTTGTTAGTGACAGTAAAAGAAATTTTAATCATGTTCTGATTCTCGGGACAGTGTTCTTTAGTCTAAAATGATCAATTGTGAGGCAATAGGCATTCATTATGCACCCACCATGTACCAGGCACTGTGCTGGGTGCCGGGATCATCAGTGGGGTTACCAAAGGAAATGAAATGTAACATAAAATCCTGCCTTTCTAGGCTCTACAGAGGAAAAGGGATTGCTGGGTCTTTGCAAAGCTCTGTCTTCAGGGAGATCAGGACGCCTGACAGAGAAGGCCTGCTCAGCGCTCAGAATGTCCCCCAGGAAGCGAGTGTAGGCAGACAAGGAGGGAAGCACTGCTATGCCTCTTTTGCAACTGAGAAAAGTTAAGCAGAAATGACTACAGGGTTTGCCTAGTACAAGCCAGTAACCAGTGAAGCCAACTAGTTTTGGTTCCTTCCACTCTATGCACTGGCCAAAGTTAAAATCTCCCTTCAGTCACCTCTGATGACTGCAGAACTCAAGGACAATTATCATTTGAGGCAAATTCTTCTAATAGGAATTATGCTACTAAGCTTCTCACAATTAGCCAAACCTACCCCTTAGAATTACATACCTTTTATCTCTTTCCTTTTTGATGTAGACAAGCCAGGGCATGGACAGCCTTTGAATGAAACAACTGAGAACTGGGAGTATCGAGGTGGATTATATTACAACTATATTAAAGTCAGGTTATGAATGAATTGTCCCATAATAATACTACTGGAAATAATAGCAAGGCCGTGATGGATCACCTGTTCTGTGCCTGATACTGTGCCGAGTGCTCTGCACAGATGGCCTCACTCGGTCTCACAACAGCACACACACAGGCAGATCCAGGGTCTGTGTGGAGCTTACACAATGTGAGGAGGCCCTTCCTAAGGAAAAGAAAAAAAAATTTATTTTTATATCATCACCTGAGGATATTTCTTTCCATTGCTTTTCAGAGAGAGTGGAAGGGAATGAGAGAGAGAGAGAATCATCGATGTGAGAGGGACACATCAATTGGTTGCCTCCTGCACATGCCCCAACTGCGACTGGGGATCAAACCTGCAACCGAGGTATGTGCCCTTGGCTAGAATCAAACCCCGGACCCTTTTGTCCATGGACTGACGCTCTAACCACTGAGCCAAACTGGCTAGGGCAGGAAAAGAAAATTTTGGATGCAGAAGTATGTACAGGGCCTTGGAAGGGCCTGTGATGTGAGGGGCCAGAAGCTTAAGCTTTGTGAGCTTCACGGTAAATGCAGCACAGTGCCCAAAACAAGCTAATAACACCCCTGCTTTCCCAAGTAATGAAACTGAGGCTCTGAGAAGGTAAGTAACTTGCCCAAAGCCAAACGGCTTGTAAATGGCAATGCTAGGATTTGAACACAGGTGTCTGACTTAAAATCTCATGTATTTTTTTTCTTTGCTTATGTGGCTTCTAACAAAAAACAAACTGTTCCCATTTACAAAGCACTAACTATATCCCATGAAAATGACACCCATGTCCCTTAAGAATTCTTATAACCTTTCCAGTTACACGAGTCATTATTACCCCCATTTACAGATGGGGAAATCAAGAATCAAGAAAGGTTAAGCACCTACCTGGCAGAAGGTCACCCAACTAGTACGCTGGATTCCTGCCCAGCAGTGTTGGCCTGAAGGGCTCTGACTCTCCCCACCATCCCACGCTGCCACCCGACAGGTGATCCGGGAGAGCAGGGTGGTAGCAATGAGAACACAAAACCTCTGGCTGAATTAAAACATTCCCATCTCTGCCCACTGAAGCTAGCCCTGTCATGTGGATTCATACATCACATTGTGCAGTGGTTCCTTAATGGGGTTGAGCAATTCTGAAAGTCCACTTACTCTGTACTGTAATTTATTAGTTGGGTCAGAGACCAATCCCCATGGAGAAAACCACACAAAAAGCCAGTCACCAAATATCAGTGCAAACTCAAGCCTCAGCCAAGATGCCCGACGGCTACGCCCTTCCCCCCATGAAGCACTGCCCGACAGAGCATCTGAGGGCTGGTGATACCTGAGGCACTGGGCAGATCACTCCTCTCATGGGGCTCTCCTGAAACGGCCTTTCAAAGCCACGTGAGAAAATTCGTCGTATATTGACTATAATTGTATTGTTCGACTCTAGTCGCCCAAGCAAGAGTTTACATCCTTAAACAATCCTGCCATGGGTTTCCAGGTGGGCAGGAGTGAAGACATTCAGTTCAGTTTTTCCCTTAAACATGGGCGTGCAGGGAAAACAATGGCCTTGAAGAAGCTCAGACCACGGGCTTCATCTTTTCTCGGCCATGTGAACTTAAAAAAACACTAAATTGTGCTTCCCCATGGTGTTTTTATTTTTAAGTTGCCTTTCACTGCCAGATTGGAAGTCACTGATGGCTTTGGAAACCTCTATTAAAGGCACAGGTCTGCTGCCACCTGGACGGAGACAAGCTTGCTGAGGGAGGAGTGGACCCGCGGGGATGTCTCACCCAGCCCCTGGGGGACCTGAAGCTGAGGTTATGGGCACAGACAGGAAAGGCTGCGCCGATGATTTTGTTCTTAAGGAAAAAGCGATCGCAGTTCCCCTTTCCACACAGATTATTTTTGGGGTGTGGGTGAAAGGGCAGAAGAAATGAGGGCGGTGAGGCGAGCCCCGGAGCCTTCTGAAGGGACTAGCCAGCTGGCCGGCCCTCCTGCCCAGGGGAAGCGACAGGCAGTCTCTGAGGAATCAGGGCATCTCTGCCTGTCGCTCCGAGAGGAGCGAGGATGGTGAGGAGACAAAGCGACGCGGGCCGCCGCGGAACCGCCGCCC